AAACAGATGTCATTTTCTAATGCACACAAGGAATAGAATATGTGGACAAAGAGTATTCAGGAGGAAAGGTATATAGATCCGTATGAGGACACATCTGTAGATATTCGTTTCTGTGCACATTGACATACACTGGCAGCCTAAAAGGTGAGCAGATTGTAGAGACTAATCTATGTGGTGCATAAATTGTGGCTTCCACACAGTAGACTATGATGTTTTTATCTCCTCAAATAAACCCACAAGATGGCTTGCTGATACTTTGTTAAATTTTCAACTGAGAATTTATTTGTTTGCTCCTCACCTTATGCGATTACTTGCCTGTAATATCTGTGGAAAAGGCTTTTGCCCACCGGCTGGAAAGACCAATCTTTATAAATTTTACACAAACTTGGGCAGGTAGGAAAAAAAAAATCTTTTGTTACTAGATTAAATTTAAAAGGAAGGCTGGAATAATTTACCACTTTGTATGAAGAAAAGTAAGGGCAGAGGTGCGGATGGCACAGTGGACTCAACAAAACAAAGCCAATAAGTCCACATAGCTCTGCACCATCAGGATTTTCTTGCTTGGAGTCCTTTCAGTCTGAGGTAGAGAGTATTTGAGAGCTTCAGCAACCCATGAAATAGCATAGTGAGTTCTCATAATGTCTTAATATTCTGGTGTGTTTCATAATATTGATGTTTTACTTTAAATCCACTGAAAACTGTAAGAAAGGGAAAATCTCAGGTTTTATTTTAAAGAATATTTCTAGCCCACATGAGTTCAGAGAGTATTGGAAAAGTGATTTCAATGAGTTTAGAGAACTAAAAAAATTAAAACACTAATAATCTGTAAGAAGCAACATCCTTCCTGAGTGGAAGGAGAAACAGACCCAGTGGCTTTGAATGTTCGGAGCTGGCAATAGTGAAAACGTCAACAGTAGAGCTCTTCCGCTTACAGTATGCCCCTAAAATATGAGAAAAATGGCATAATTCCACAATCTCATTTCACATGGAAGGAAACTAGAAGATCTTAGTGCAAATATCGTATTTAAACATGGAGCCATAGCTGTGCTATTTCAGTGCTGGCTTTATAACGCCAAGATTTTTTACACAGCCATAATACATTTTCAGATTCTTTTTGTCACCTTCCTCATAGATTCCTGGCCCTGTCTCTGAGTTGCTTCTGTCTTTGCTGGCCATTTATATTTGACAGTCAGGTTATGATTAAGCCGCAATGATTGTTTCTCTAGGTAGAGTGTTTATCTGACTGAATATTTTGATTGTGTAATTTAGAAAAGAGATTTCACTTATTCTGGTTAAGGCAGGAGTTTCCCACTAAGAAATCACTCTGTTGTGACAATTGTAAGGAAATATTCAAGACCTTAGGATATTTTTAAGGACTAATGTTAGTGCAATTGAAAAAAAACCAAACCAAACCAAACCAAACCAAAAACCATCTAAAATATTCCCTTGCGTTTTTTTATACTGTATGAATACATGTATCAAATAAAGCTTCTTTTTGTACTAGAATGTTTGTATGGAAACCACTAAGGTGGTATTGCAGCTGTTTGACTTCTTCAGCGCTATCCTTATGACAATAATGAAATATATGAAAAGATCTTATTAGCTACATGTATTTAATATATACAGTAGATTCATCTTCTGTAAAAATATCTGTCATGATATTATAGGATAATGTCTCTTTCTTGTTTAAAAAATTAAAATAAAAGCATTAGCCAACCTCTCTGAGCACTGTTAGCTGTATGGTTTTGTATTGCAGTTCATTCATTCATTGGTTAAGTGATAAGACCAAAGACTGACACTTCTAACACTATAACACTGCTGCTTTTACTAATTCTGTTGGAATGAAGAGATGACAAGTTGTAATTACAACATGAAATTGTAACATAGTTTAGATTTGTGCAGCATTTTGAGCTGTAGATTGTTCACTTTTTTCCAGGATTTAAATTTTTTGTCAGGTGGTGCAATTACATTACTGTTCATGCATACGAGGATCTTTTGGTATTCCTAAGGAAATGAAAGAGTATGTATTCCAAAACAAGTCAAGACATTGCTTGTTTCAACTGAAGTTATACTGTTTTTCTTGAAAAACAGTGGCTTGACTGGATAACAGAATTCACTTTAAATCATTCTAGATGCAGAGGGCTAGTAAATCTGGACTGAAGATATAGCCATAAATGTCTAGAAAGATGTAATAAGGGATGTTCTAAGATATTCAGTTGCTAAGACCATGGGGGTGTTCTTATGTTTGGGGATTTTTTTTTTTTTCTAAATAAAACAAACACAAAAAATAAATTAAAAAAAAAAAAAAAAAACAACACAACCCAAACCACCATAAACATTAGACTATCAATTGTTATCAGCTGATTCACTGTAATGCATATGTAAATTGGATCAAAGATTATGTTATATTGTTTCAATCAGTACTCAGTAAAGGTCTGCTAACCATTTTTGTTTTGTAACCTCTATGTTAATGATTTTCTTGTGTATATAGATATATAAAAAAGATGGGAACTATTTTCTTACACATACTATGCAATATATTTGTAAAACTGCAATATTACCAAAATTACAAAAGCTGTGCTTTTGTACAGTCTTGCTTTATGTAAAACAAATCTTTTTTCTATTTAATGAACTGTCTTATAATTGTAGATAATGTTAATCAAGAGCAGTATACTGGAACTTTAAGATTTCTTATTTCATTTTCCTTGTATTTTTCATTTTATGAAAATAATAGCAAGGTTTTGGAAGTTGGAAATTGTTTTTTCTCAGAAAGCTAGAACTATTACAGCATGTAATTAACATAGTCGGTTTGAAATCTCTTCTGTACTTCTTTCATTTGGTCTTAGCATTTTCATCTGGTGCTGCTATATAACCATAAATAAATGTGATACATAAAATAGGAGACATATCAGAACTCATTTCAAGAATAATGAAGGGTGGAATTTTCTAAGGGTGAGAGGAAGATGTAGGATAGCTGATGAGAAATTTTTAGGTTTTCTATGTATTTTTGCTTGATGGATTTTTTTGTTAGTATCTATTTCCTTACTTTGGTCTACATTTGCTGCATGGAAACAGCTTTAGTTTGTTTTTCATTTTGTTGTCTTCACACACAGTACACCAGAGTTTTATTTCAAAAATGTTTTTGAAAACAACATACACTGCATTTAAATGCAATACCTATTGTTTAGAAAATCCAATTTAAAAAAAAAATGTTTTATTTCTACATCAGCATCAGTAAAGTTAAAATTGCAGTGCTGCATCTCATCTACTGTAAAAGCATATTACGCTACTCAAGTTCCTTTATACCTTGCCAGATTAAGCTAAACTGTCTATGTTTAAACTGCACCAGTATAAAAGCCACTTGACAATTACAGAGTCATGTAAAAGGTCTTGCAGTGATGACATCAATGTAAACAAATCCTCTCTACATTTAAATTGGATAGTGTCAGTTCTGCTAACAGCATAGCCTTGCACAGAACTCTGGCAAAATGCAAGGTGAGCATTTGGGTGGGTTTTTTTGCATTGAGCTCCTTGACACCATGCTACAATTTCAGCAATATCCACAGTAGCCAGACAGTAGCTAGCTGCATAATGTCTAAAAGAATGGTAATTTCTATACACAGGAACAGTGGTATAGAACTATCAGCAAT